AATTTATCATGGAACAATAACATTCTTTGTATTTCCATTTTAATTATCATAATTCCCTGGAGTATAGCATGTTAACTATCAACAGCCTATTAATTCCTTCTTTCATACACAACCAGAATAATCTAGAGGATACTGATTACTGTATCAGATTAGGATACTGAGGATAGATACTTTCTAGATTTCAGCTCCTTAATTCATCATTATATCTATCCTCCACTTCTTAGATATTCAGTTCTACTTAACTCTACTCCTCAACATCAGACCACCTTCAATAAACCCTTCCTCTTTCACAGGCAGACAATATATTTATTTCCCCTATTTTCTTTTAATTGATTCATGCTCTTTATAATTTTCTCCTCTTACATTCTAAGTTGCATCTTCTGTAAGCCATGATGGTCACAGATGGGCTCATATATACTGATCTCTGCTGCCCACCACAGCTTTGGTCAATCAAGGCTTTACATAGTGATTTTAGTAAGACAGAGAGGGAATAGACTACTATACCAGCCCTCATCATACTCATGTACATGCAACATTCTCTGCTAAAAATCAAGAATAATACTGGTCAGTTTTAGTACATTTTAAGCAGGATGCCATGAGCTCATCCAAAGCCCAGTATTACTCCAAGCATACTCCCACTATTCTATGGAAGCTACCATTTCTAATCTAGACACTACATTGCAAGCCAACATACTATTAGCTGTATCCCACCAACTAGAAGGCATATGTGGTGTACTGACACACATTTAAGAGATACTTATTGTGCATTTATTTTGAATTTAAGTATTTATCATATTTATAATTAAGCTACAGAATTGTAGAATTTAAATGGAAATAAAAGATTTATAGTATACTTGACCATTATGAACTATTCAAAGTTATATTCTGAATTTTGATGGCTTCACTAATTACTTACAAAACAGTAAAAATCTAAAGTAACAGAAGTGTATGAGTGACAATCTAGACCAAGATTTCATGTTTGTTAATATTTCTCTTCTAAAACTTATTTTCTGAGACAGTGACCAAAACAGTCCAGTGTGGCTATAGCATAATTCTTATTAATGAAGCCTTACCTCATTAATTAAAAATTGAAGCTGCAGAACAGCAGCACCACTTTCATGCTGACAATAACAATCAACACCTGGCCTGCCCAATCTGTTAAGCATCACAGTCAAGGATCAGTTTGCTTAGGTTGATTGCTGAAATAAGAGCAATACAAAATCAAAGCAGAATTAACCTTTGTTTTTACTAATCAGGGAAGATAATTAAAAGCAGCCTGTGTAAAGGGTTAGAGACTTCACAAATCTATCTTCATCCCAGATCACAAGTCATAAGGGATTCAAGCACGGCAATTTATTCATCCTACCCCAATATGAGTAACAGTATTCCAATGGTCAAGCAATATCCTATAGTTCTTGGAGCCATTGAGCAACCTTGGTTCTGGTTGGGGTGACTTTTGTGGGATACATTGTGTTGGTATTTTTAAGTGTTTTGTACATCTCAGATGTTGATAACTAATTCAGTAGTTAGTCCAAAGGACTGGAACCCAGAGTGAGGTCCAATTTCAGTTGATTTTTATTATGTCCTGATACGTAAAACCATAGAACTCAAAGAGGGTGTATTTTCTTTTTCACACGACTAGAACTAGAACAAAATTTTGGATTATGCTGCCACAAAGAAAAATAGCAAAGTATAGTTGAGAAATTAATCTGTATTTTATCTGGATGAAGATGAAACAAAACAAACTGATAAAACTGTAAAATGTAGTTGAAGCTATCATAATGTACAATAGCAAAGGATACATGCGTATTGCACCCGTTCTTGTTCCAATAGCCAGAATCTTTTGAACTGGGTCAAAAGCTAAGACAGTGGGCAGATATGGAAATCCATGACGAACTGTCTGAAATAGAAAATATAAATTTTAGTGAGGAAGAACATGTAGTTGTAATTGACAGATATGTTTTCTATGGTTCCTTAATTTTTATTTTCTAAAGCAAATAAAAAACTGGATAATCAAAATAATTAAGTGGCTGCTCGGTGATAAAAAATAAATTAACTCATTATAAGTCTAACTTCTATTGCATTGACCAGTTAAATTATATGCATTTTAAACTTACAGATTATCCTGAAGTATGGAAAATTTTCACGCAAAATATTGGGTAGCAGCAGGCAGTCTAACATAGCCTATTGACTGCAGAAATCCAGCTCAAATCAGTGGGGGAAGGGGGTAAAATATACATTATAAGAATTTTTTTTTTTAACTTCCAGCTTTGAGCAGACATTCATTGTGGAAGGAGATAATTACAGAGCTTCTGAGGTTCACTGTATTACACTTGCTTACAAATTAGCTAAGAAAAAAATCCAAAAGAAAAGCAAAAGAAAAGGCTCTGCTCAGTCACTCATGCCCTGGTCACCTCCCGAGTGGACTACTATAATGCATTCTACATGGGGCTGCCCTTGAAGAGTATCCGGAAGCTTCAGCTGGTGCAAAATGCAGTGGCACAGGCAGTTATGTCTGCTCCTAGGATGGCACATGTTACACTTCTGCTCCACGAGCGGCATTGGTTGCCGGTTTGCTTCCAGGTCCAATTCAAGGTGCTAGTTTTGACCTTTAAAGCCCTTCGTGGAATGGGGCCGAGTTATCTGAGGGACCGCATCCACCCGATTACATCTACCCATCCTATCAGGTCCGACAGGAGAGGCATGCTGCAGGTCCCATCTGTATTTTCACCTGGTGGGACACAGGAAATGGGCCTTTTCTGCCGTGGTACCCACCCTGTGGAACATCTCCCCCACCCCCAGGTGAGAATGGCCCCATCCTTGACATCCTTTCGGAAGTCCCTTAAAAGATGACTGTGTCAGCAGGCCTGGGGATCTCAAAGAAATGGTGATTTGATGAGATGGCTGCATTGTTTTTAACACCAATTTTCTCCACTGTCTTGTTATTAATAGTGTTGTTGATGTCTTTTAATTATAGTTTTTTTAACATTTTGATTTTATAATTATTTTTATTATAAGCCACCTAGAGTCACTTTACTGTGATATGGGCAGCTATATAATTGTGATAGAGAAATAAATAAATGAATCCAATATTCCAGACAGAGTACAAGATCTGCTTCAAATGTCCAAATATCTCTGCAGAGATTGGAGAGAGTTCAAAATATTACAGGTACCCAGGAGATTCTAACAAAATTATTACTTAGGAATAGAGACAGATACGTGAATGGAGGCTGAAATTAAATACTCAGTGCCGTAACTTGAACAGAGATATAAAGAAAATCAGATATAGCACATACAGAATCAGAATCCTAGTGCAAATTCCTGGCTACATGAGTTTACTATTTCTACAGAAAGAAAAGTCTTCCTGATGCAAATGTAATTTCTTGGGCTTCTCTAACTTCTTAGAGCAGCGTTTCTCAATCTTGGGAACTTTAAGATGTGTGGACTTCAACTCTTCCATGCTGGCTGGGGAATTCTGGGAGTTGAAGCCCACACATCTGAAAGTTCACAAGGTTGAGAAATACTGTTTTAGAGATTCTCAACATTAATCACATCCACTGTGGATGTGGATGATAGACACACCCTTCCTTCCCCAGCCATTCTCCACATACTTCTGTCTCTGTCCCTGTCCCTGTCTTTCTTTTGTAACAAAGAAACTACCAGAGGGGTAATTTGACTCTGAGAGCATGTACATGGCAAAGAGCCATCTCCCAGTTACGGAGATGTGGATTGTGAGTCAACAGGGATCATGGCTGGGGCGCACAGCCTTTCCTCCAACATATTTTTAAACCTTGCATGTGCAAACCTGAGCCCCTGCAGCCACCCAGACTTCTGGATTCTATCGACAGAACAGACTTATGGCCTCTGATGAGAAACAAATTTATCATGAAACAATAAGATTCTTTGTGGTATTTGCTGCAAAAGGCTAACAAATCAATCCTTCTTGAAACTGTTTTCTTTAAAACTCTTTCTTTCCCTCCTCTTGACTCAATTGCCATATTCTGTAAGCTCACATTTTTTAGATTTTCAAAATAATTTTTATGTATAAACATTTGCTTTTCCTGTAGACACTTCATAGTAAAGCATGACATTACAATATGAAGTTTTCCATAGCATCTTCCTGTATCAGAAAATGTAAAATTAGTTTGCAATAAGTAAAGGGCACCTCAATATATTTTGTTTTTTTTAAAAAAACACATTATTAATAGGCACAAGGAAAAACAACCATTTCTGATATAAGAGACAATAGAAATGGAATAAGATATTTTAAAGCACCAGTGTCAGGAAATCAATTCTACAGGTAGACTAAAACTACTTTTATTGAGATTGGCTATAATATCAGAATCTTACAAGTCCGATCATGCTATACCTCCTCCTCCTTCTTACAATTTAGTGAATTAGGGAGGCATTTGTCTGAGCCACTTCCAAATGTTATCTCATTGTGGACTTAAATAATGTTTTAGCCCCTTTTGCCTAGGTAATGGTTCCTACATATCTCTGTCGAGGTCATCTTCCTCATGCTTTATAACCAGATATAAATTCTATCTTCAGCTCAGATGTTAGAGGGAAAGGATGGAGTGCTTTCTGGAAAAGATTCCTTGTGGTTTTTTCCCCCTAAGATCCTCAGGACAGTGAATAAAGGAAATATCTTGCCTTTTTTCTTCCATCCTCTATCTAGAACTCAAGGGCTGACAGTCACCAGACAAGGGCATTTGATATTTTAATTGATTGATGACAGGCTGTGTGCAGTGTCCTTGGAGATCCCTCAAATCAAACTGGATTTCATTTTTTTTTAAGGTTATGGAATTTGGGGGATTTTTAGCCTTTTACCCAAAGCATGTCCATTAAAAACCTCAACTCTCCATAAAGAATTACAGTGATTTCACACACACACACACACACACACACCATTCTTGAAGGAGATTTTAAAGGAGCAAAATGGCAGCTGTAAGCTTGCCCTTTAATGCTCCAAAAGGGGAAAAAGTAGCCAATCTACTGTAGCAAAAAGAGGAAGTGCAGTTTTCAGGGTGAAGAAGGTTGGTTTCTTCTGTTTGTGTATGATGGGAAGGAGAGGGAGCACATTCTGAGCAATGGAAAATGGGAAATTTTTCCTTTAAGCATCTCAGTGGGAGATAAAACCTACAGGAACCATCTCCCACCCCAAACTTCATGCTTCTCTTTGTGTCAAGATAGTTGTTATAATGTGGCATGAACACAATAGTACCTCTTCCATTTTTTGTTTTGGACTATTGTTTTCAACTAATGTATAAAATATTTAATTTATCTTCTGTTCTCAGTTACAACTGTGTATTTATAGATTCTCACAAGCTCTATTCAGTGTTGCTAAACTGGACATTGGAAGCTGCTAATTCTGCTTCCAACATCTTGCATAAGACCGTGCTTCCTATCAAGGAGTTTCTGCATTCAGAATGAAGCTCTGAAGGGAGGAAGGCTTTGCAGAGGATTGTATATGTGGACACTCCCACATAATTCATGATCCTGTGGATGTTAAATTGTATGGCCTCCACTTGCTCATCCCAAGGTGAGAATGCCTTTTCCCTTCTGGTTCTCATACAACTCTCTAGCTGCTCTAGACTCTTATCTGCTCCCGCAATTACAGCTGTACAGAATTGACAGGTATTCTTTCCTTCCAAGACCAGTTCTAAAGAACCCTACATTGGATCCCTCAGAGACCTGCAATGATAGACTCGTCTCTAACCTTCCATAGTTAAAGGGACCGAGGGCGTGGCAGTTTCTCAACAATGGGAAGCAGCGTTCACAAACTCATGGCCTGTGAGGGTTCTGTATGAGTCAGCTTTCTCACAGCCCAAAACAATGCAACAGGCCATGAGTTTGTGGATCCCACTTAGAAAACAAAAACCCTTCCAATGCCTCCTGAAATCCAATTGGATCCAATATCCTTTTGGGGTCCATCCTAAAGGATCCATTTCCCTAGATATGGAATATAGCCAGAAATCCAGCTAACCACGTGAAGGCTCATCCAGGACAACTGAGGGATTGGCGGCATCCCCACCTGTGGAACACCTCCCTCATCAAATATCAAATTGAGCATATTTCATGTATCATGTATCAGGCCTGCTACCAACTAGAATAAACTCATAATTGCTCCTGACTACTTAGTTAAACTCCTCAGCCATTCCAGACACACAAGTTTCAAGCTGAAGCAGGAAATAATCCAGGACTGGGAGCCTGGGGGATTCCAACACCAGCTCTGCCTAGAGATTCTGCTAGGCAGTGGTATAGGTGTTACCCTAAGAGAATCCTCAATCTATTCCAGCTCCCGAGACTAAGATACCACACACCCAGTCTCTCACAAAAATATGGGTAAAGGAAATAATTGTGTTCTATCAAAACAGATGTTTTTCCAGATTCGATTATAAAACATTTTAAAATTAAGTATCTAAAATTCCATCTAAAATCAGAAGCTTAAAATCAATGCCTTCAAAATAGACTGAATTATAATTAAACCAGCAATTAATGGAAATTTTAAAAAACTGAAATAAACCTAATGAAGCTGTTCATTATGCTGTTCATTACTGCAGCATAAAAGAGTTTATATTAAAAGGAGTGCCTTTGCTTGGTGCTAAAAAGGGGGGTTCTGGCAGAAGACACCTCCGTATGGCTGACCCAACTGAACTGAATGTATACTGTACAGGAGAAAGACACAGAGAGAAAGAATCTGTGAATATAAATGACAAGTGTTTGTGTGGGTGTATGTATTCTAGCCTGCCCACCAGCCTTTTGGCCCCACTGAAGCATTTAAGGCAGATGAACGCAACTCCCTGGTCTATCAAGATTGCCTACTCCTTAGCCAAAGGGGCTAACTTTTATCATAGTACAATTAAAAATAAACCGATGAAATTTGCAACACATAAGAGAAGAATACTGATTTATCCAAAAGGATCAAACTTTTATTAATCATCATTTAAATAAGGC